ATGTCTACCCTCGCTCGAAAATGACCCTGGTGGACATCAAGGATATGCCAGAACTTTTGCGAGTCACAAAAACACCCACACTAGAGCCTGGTGCATGGGTACGACTTCGCCGCCCAGCGAAGCACGGTGGAGACTTGGCTCAAGTCCTCGATGTTACGGAGAATGGCTTGGAAGCAAGAGTGCGTTTTATTCCTCGGTTAGACTATGGCATGCGGGATGAAGCGCTGTCCAGCCTATCGTCGGATGGCAAACGGAAGAGACCAGGAGCTGCTGGTCCTCGTCCGCCGCAAAGACTATTCAGTGAGATAGAGGCTCGTAAGCGACATCCACGATACATTCAGGGTAACCCTTCGACGAATACTTGGTCTTACATGGGCGACGAATTCGAGAATGGGTTTCAGGTCAAAGATGTCAAGATTCAACAACTGGTTGTGACAGACGTGAATCCATCCTTGGAAGAGGTAACGAGGTTTGCTTCCGGTGCTGAGGACGGTACGGAGAACCTGGATCTCAAAGCGCTTGCTGCTAGCTTGAAGGACAGCAATACGCTCGTGACCTACCTTCCTGGTGACATTATCGAGGTGTATTCTGGTGAACAAAAGGGTGTAGTGGGCAAGGCTACAAACGTCCAGGGTGACATCGTCACTATGTCCGTCACGGAAGGCGATCTTGAGGGACAAACAATCGAAGTACCGATCAAGGGCCTGCGCAAACGGTTCAAAATTGGTGACCACGTCAAGGTCATCGGTGGCAGTAAATTCCGTGATGAGGTGGGAACTGTCGTAAAGATATCCGAGGATCGTGTTACTCTCTTGACAGATCAGACAAATACTGAGGTGACAGTATTCAGTAAAGATCTGCGAGAAGCAAGTGATATCGGTGGACAAGGATCACTCGGTCAGTTTTCGCTTCACGACTTGGTTCAATTAGATCCAACGACTGTTGGTTGCATTGTGAAAATCGACAGAGAGTCACTTGTTGTACTAGATCAATATGGCGATACAAGACAACTTATGCCATCTCAGATCTCCAACAAGCTCCCCAAACGAAAACAAGCTGTCGCGGCGGATCGGGAGGGCTCAGAGATCCGACTGGATGATGTTGTCAAAGAATTTACGGGCCAACATAGACAGGGCAAGATCATTCATATTCACAGGTCTTATGTCTTCTTACACACAAACGACAGCAACGAGAACGCGGGCGTCTTTGTCACCAAATCGAGTATGGTTAATACCGTTGCTGCGAAAGGTGGGCGCGTCAATGCAGCATCATCTGGCCCGGATCTAAGCGCCATGAATCCGGCATTAAAGATACACAAGAATGGTGGAAATGACAAGCCCTCCCAACCTGTTAAGATGTTTGGCCGGGATCGTGCCATCAATCAGACTGCCATTATTAAAAAGGGACCCTATAAGGGCCTTCTTGGTATTGTCAAGGACACCACCGATACCCATGCTCGAGTGGAACTGCATACCAAGGGTAAGACAATCACGGTTCCGCGTGATTCGCTGAGCTTCAAGGACAAAACGACAGGCGCTACTATTGATATTAATGGCAGAGGGCGTGGTGCTCCTGGTGGTGGTTTTGCACGCGGTGGTGGCGACAAAATGCCTGGCTGGCAGGGAGGATCGCGAACGCCAATTGGCACAGGCAGTTCCGATCGGGTTCCAGCTTGGGGCTCACGCAGTAAGTCTTCATATGGTGTTTACTCCGCTTGTGTTGGTATTGCTAACTCTGTATGGTGATCAGCACCTGCTGCTGGTGGACGAACTCCGGCTTGGAAAGCTCAGGATTATTCTGGCTCACGGACTCCGGCTTGGGCTGATGGCTCACGAACTGTGAACCCTTACGATGGTAGCCGTACGGCATATGGCTCGGGATCACGTACGCCCGCTTGGCAGTCCGGGGCACGTACTCCTGCTCTCGGTGACGCTTTTGGGGCCGGTTCGCGAACACCGGCTTATGCTGGAGGTGGCGCCGATGGTTGGGCATCGGGATCCAAGACACCGGCATGGGGAGCGTCGGCGCCTACTCCCGGGGCCAGCGGTACTGACTCTTGGGGTTATACCCCCGGGGCAACTACGGGGGGGTATGATGCCCCAACCCCTGGTGCAGCCATTGGTGCCCCTACTCCGGGCGCAATGAATGCTCCAACTCCTGGTGCATATTCCGCTCCAACTCCTGCGGCTAGTGCGCCAACTCCTGGTGGTGGATGGCAGGGCGGATGGGGCGCAGAATCGGCTCCGACTCCTGCGGCCGCCGCCCCGACACCCGGTGCAAGTGGTTACTACGGTGCTCCAACTCCAGCTGCATATGGTGGTGCTCCTGAAACTCCAGCGGCCAGTGGGCCAAGGTATACAGATGACGATTAATTGGGCCGGCTGGGGCGCTTGGGTTATCATCCTAGTGAAGACTGTATTAGAATGGCACTTGAGGGGTAGCAGGTTCCGGCGTTTGGGTGAATTGTATGTAATAACTATTACACGTAGACGTACTGGCGCAGGACGCACCGTTAGGTCACTGCGGCAGAATCTCGCTTCTAGCAACTATCAGTGGCTGAATATGTCCGGTCGGTAACTGAGAGTTACTCTATCCGTGTTTCGCGCGGTAAGATGTATGTTGGTAGGATTGAGCAGTATGGGTTGTAAGCTGTACCCATATATTTATTGCTCAAGCTTGAGGACCCCGGGCCCTCCCTTCCCTTCTCTCGCCTCTCTTACCTTCAGTTGACGATCATACTTATCAGACATGCCTCGTGTCCTAGCCGGCTTAATTGGCCGCCAGCGAGTCTCTCCAGCCCCGATTTGCATGGCTACACAACCAATATCAATATCGTGAGTTAGTAACTAGACGGCTTTGGGAGCCACCCTATACTCACCCACACGACCCAGCAATCTTTTTTTTTTTTTTCGCCCCTTGTCTCTTTCATTGTCAACCTCCTTCCTACAACTGCCACACGGTCCGGTGTCAACGGGTGCCAGACTGCTCATACATCACTCACCACCCTCGGGATATTCCACGCCATGAGATACATTACAGCAAATGCGCTACGCCCTTCACAACCTCCCACACTAGTGCTTTCCCCGTGCAGAGGTGGCCGATACATGCCAGCTTACCAACCGACCGAGTCGCCAGGCGGCGTGTTTAATATCCGAACTACACGTAACCAGCAAATACACACGCATCTTGCTAGGAATTTCACAAGCTCCACGACGAGAAGAGCAGGGAAAATCGCCGAGGGGAGACCAGGAGCACAGCAGCAACCGACCAAGGATACATTCCACAAAACCGCGGAGACGAGGGATGCTGCGGTGCAAGTCGTGCGGGTGAGGCGGGCTGCTGAAATAAAGACAAAGGTGGAACTCGAGAACGTCAACCAAAAAGAATATCAGAAGCGATATCAGTCAGCAGCGAGAAAATGGGTGTCGACCATGATTGCCTTACCTATTCTCCTTGTCACCAGTTACTATCTGTTTGATAGACGTAAGTTTACCATGCTTCAAGCAAGGAAGCACCGCAAGCGGGCCACGACCTGTCGCAAAGCTAACTCGAGTCCTACAGTTGTCCTAGGGAATGAGCCCAAAACGCTATCAAAACTGAGCACAACCGCGAGCCGACGTGAATAGAGAGCACCCGACGGACCTTGCCAGACTGGGCGCGGCGGGCGACCACGACCGCGGACTACCTGGCTGACGGGGAATAACTTATTGCGATAGCCTTAGGGTGACCGTATATGGACGTGAAATCAACGGCGCTTTCTGCGCACCAAGTTGATCATTGGCATCAACATACCTCAATAGGTTAGAGCCGACGATGACTACCAGGTAGCTGTCGTCGATACTCGCTATAGGCGCTGACGTACTGTCATCACGATGCTTCCGCTAGGCGACTTCACTGCACACTGAGAAATGGAGGGTCTCGTAAGAATGGTCCACTGACTTGTCACCGAGCAATACGTTACCAGGAGGCTATTGCGAGGGGATTCCGATGTTACATCGAGCATCCAACACTGAAACTCGGGACGAAATTGATCACCAAGGATCATCATAAATTAATCGAGATATAATGTAGACTAGATTACGGGAGCCACAGCTTCGCATCTAATACGAATTTGTCGCGATCACACATGACACCAAGTTGATAGATCAACCATGCAATAGAACGAATAAACATACCGAATGGATTCATGAGCGATATTAAGCAAAGAAAGTGGTTTATACAACCTCGGCGCGAGGTATGAGACTCGGGATGGCACCCGCCGCACACTGCATAGTAGAACCAACTCGGGAATACACTCCAGCTGCTCTTTTAGGTGACTAGTATATTATTTGGATCGGAGTGAAACCCGAGTCATGTAACAAACAGATTCATAATATCCCAGGCGATATTGACGTCGTCGACCCACCCGGTACATTTATTTCCAGATGAGAACGCCTGTACTGTCGTATGAATCTGGTCACGAGGTTTGATAGACCTGTTGTTGACTAAGGCGAAATATCTGGTAGCGGGGATTTTCTGTTGGATCAAAACAAGGAATCGGGTGAGATTACTCTCGTTGGGGCACTGTAGTCCGTCCCCATCATCGACTCCAGATTCAGGCGGACGGCGATGCTGTGGCCGCTCACAGCCCAGTGAATTACCTCGAACGTGAAACTCTCCCATGCAGCATGAGACCATCATTAGGATGTCAATCTTTAACGGATTTACTACATGGTTCGCTTTGGTGGCGAAGCACTGGAATATTGCCCATGAAGTCACGATATGGAGCGTTATGTGCAACGGCCGCATCTCTTGTCGTTGATTTTTCCCACCAATATGCGGTGATAGTAAGGATGCGATGCTAAAATGTGTTTAAATATCACCTAAGTTACCTAGTACTACGTACTTGAGTATTCGGTACCTACTAGGTACCTAGGTAGCTTGTGAGGGGGAAATGGACCAGCTCTTAAACATTGAAGGCAACTCGAGGTTGAATGTCGCATGTTGGATGACGGCAGTGGTTACAGCTTCGCCGCCAGTTTGCCTTCACCCCTCTTCTCAATATCAGCAGCGTCTCTTTTAGCCCACTCCCTCATCACCTTTCTCTGTATCTTGCCGCTCGCTAACTTCGGAACTTCATCAATAAAAACCACGCCACCCCCGAGTCGCTTATGCTTGGCCACCCGAGAAGTTATCCATTTCTCTATGTCGACCGGCTGAAGCTTTTCTCTGGATTGTGGTTGAAGGACTACATATGCGCGAGGCAACTCATTACCATGTCTGCAGTCAGATATTAGCATTTGGCGTTAAATCTGCCTAGATATGGGGCGTCACTCCTACATTGTGATTCCTACTACTGCAGCATCTGCCACATGCTCGTTCTCCAAGAGGACAGCTTCAAGTTCCGCAGGGGCTACTTGAAGACCGTTGACCTTTATCAACTCCTAGTTTGTCACTGTTAGTTTCGGCCATGCTGGGTGCAACAAGAGCTAAAAGAAAAAAACAGCTCGTTTCGAGTACCGACCGACCTTTTTGCGATCCACGATCCAGAAGAAACCATCCTTGTTACGGATTGCAACATCTCCGGTCTTGAGCCAGCCATCCTGGATGGTCTCTCGTGTTGCCTTTTCGTTCCGCCAGTACCCCAGGCATACGTTGGGTCCTTTGATGCACAATTCCCCCGGGGTATCAATTCCAACCTCTTGACCCTCGTCATCAAGAAGTTTGCACTGGGAGTTGGGCATGAGGTTGCCTACCGTGCCCATGACATCATCCGAACGTGAAGGTAGTACGATACTTGCGCAGGTTAGCTCAGTCATGCCCCAACCCTGTCGGATGGGAATTCCCAACTTCTTCCGGCAATCGCTCTGGAGTTCTCGGGACAGTGGCGCAGCGCCACATCGAATTTCTTGGACACTCGACAGATCGTATTTGGAAGTTTCAGGGCGCTTTGACAACATGACCAACACAGGCGGAGCCACCTGTAAAGTAGTAATCTTATATCGGCTGATGGCATCGAGAAACCGTTCAAAGTTAAACTCCGTCATAACGTAGACGGGGTTTCCCAACCTAAGGGCCATAAGAATGGTATATAACTGGCCATAGGCGTGGTAAAGAGGAAGAAATCCGATCCACCGCTCTCGCGGGGGGTTTCCTGACGTTAAATACGGCGTGTCGACATATCTCATGAAATAACTCTGCTCAAGATTCGCAATAAGGTTCGAATGTGATACACACACCCCCTTTGGGAGCCCTGTTGTTCCTGAACTGTAATTGATAGTAGCAATCGTCTGGGTAGCCTCTTTTGAGGTCAACAGCGGCCAACTCCAATTCTCTGCTTGCTGTGGAGTTCCCAACATACAAGTCCAGTCCTCGATGCCATTACGTGCTGGCGCCACTTCGTCAGAGAACTGGTAAATCCTATCTTTCTGCACGCCGACCATATCACAAGCCGCTATGGCCCGGTCGAGGACTGCTGGATGTGCTAATACTACCTTCGCCGTCGAGTTGGAAAGCTGGTGAGCTAGCTCTGCATAACACCACTACGGTTAGTATATGTGAAAAGAAAAATGAAGTAAAAGTAAAAGAAACTTCTTCTCCTTCCTAGCCGATATGTCAGGACATGTGTAGTGGTTGATGTGAGACGGACCTTGGGTAGTATATGACGGGTTAGCACCACTGAACACGTATCCGGACCCAACAATGCCGAGATATGCGACGGGGACGAAAATATGGTTTGGAGTAAAGATAAGAACAACGTCTCCCTTGTTTATACCTAGCTGGGAAAGCCCTACGCCGAGTCTCTTAACCCATTGTAAAGCACCCTTTGGGGACAAATTCTTTTCAGGCTGCCTGCTGTTGAACCAGAGCGGCTCGTCTGATAAATTACACTTTCCAAATAAATAGGACAATAAATCGGTTTGGGGAATGTCCAAATCCGAAAATGAAGACTTGAAAGGCATTTTTGTTTGATGTCTGGGGAAGGTTTTAGGCTCAGAGTGTTCTGGGTGAGAAAGGGGAGAAGGTGTCGATAGAATAGGAGCTTTCCCCGGAAAGACACTCAATTTAACGCAGACAGTCTGGCCTTGATGCCATTATTCCTAATTACCTAGGTAAGGACTCAGTGAGGAGTACATCCGACCACCGGTAGTCACCTTCTCGATGCCTCGGTCCCAGCAATTAGTTTGTATGGTGCCGATCTGCATTGCTAGTGGGGAACATCCGTGCCGGGGCATCATCTGCTTGGTGCAAGACACATTCAGGGCCGCGGAAACAATATCTGATGCCGACACTTACATAATTACCCCGCGGACCAGTCTGGTAATTGCGTCGCCCTTGCTGGAAGTAAGGGCATTTATTTACCCGAAAGAAAATCATGGAGGCTAGGATGTTAGCTGGTAGCATCTCAAACTCCGTCACGCAGCAAATCTATACACCCACTGTACAAGGACGGAGTCGAGCATAATTCCAATCATGGCAACACGGGATAGCAGGCAACATGGGTCTCACACACACACACTTTCACGTATATTGATTATCAAGGTCAGCAAACGTCCTTCACACTGCTCTCAAAGGACTGCTAAGTTTTGGTTATGATATACATGTGGATATCTATTCCGGCGAGATTCTACGTCTACCTCTAGTACTAGCTTTCAGCACCACGAAACAACTACCTAGTAGTCAAGTCACGACGAGAAACCATCACCTACCTAGGTACCCTTCAGAGTCAACAACCACTTACTAGCCATGGAGATTGGTACTTAAGTACACGTCGTAAAGAACCAAAAAAAAAAAAAAAAGAAGAAGAAGAAGAAGAAGAGGAGAGAAATAAAGACATGATAACATTCATGCAACAACAGCACAAACTATTCCTTTGGTCCGCCAAATCTGGAAATACCACTTCGAATACTCGAGTCGACCTTCTTGGCCATCTTCTCAAGAGGCAGGCGGTTGTCAACTCGCTGAATAGCTCTTGAGACAGGAGGCTCAATACGCTGGACAGCACGTTCGACGCGAGGTGTAAAATAGGTGATGTTGCGTTCCCATCTTGGTGCCCATTTAGCAGTTTGGCGAGCCAGTCTTTCCTCGGCGCCTGGCATGACGAGATAGAGAGGAGTGAGTACGCCAACACCGGCGGCACCCATGCAAAAGACCTCGGAGCGTTTGGCTCCAGGCAATCTTGGGACTCGGTGAGGCATGATGTTGATTGAAGAGAGGTGTGGTAAAGTCAAATGTGTATGGTTCTGATCTGCCTGTCTAAGAATACTATTAGCATTATTCGGTACGGTTCGAGAAGGATGTCTGTACCAGTTATAACAGTCAGATGAAATTGTAGTTGCACAAGCTTTGGAGTGATGCAGGGTGATGACTGGTAATGATCATCATCTATAGCAGTTGAGGGGGGACGAGACATAAATACCTAATTGTTCAGCCAGGGAGGGGGCGAAAGCCAGAGCCACCTGCCATCGAAATGCAAGCGCAGGGAAAGACCAGTCGAGAGGTGGCGTATGTGTACACGGTCGAGGCTACTGACGGATGTACTCACTGGTCAGCCTTTGTATTGCGCCGGTACATGGTTCTCCGCACTTTGGTACAACACGCCATGCTCGTGTGAGGACTCAGAGACGGTACCGTGGTGCCAGTGCTACATAACCTCCACTAGTCATGCCACCAATGCAGGACCCTCATATTCTGGCGTGTTGACAAGGTGAGATGAGACATGTCGACCAATCCAGTTCGCCGCTATTCCGCCCAGTAGCATCATGCCCGCACACACAGGCTCGACGCAGGATGATTGAAACTGGACCTGGGCTCTCCGTACATTTTGGGCAAGAAACAATCGCTGTTCAAGGTACCAGGCTTCTGGCCGTTCCGCGTTCGCAGTCGCTTGGTTGGTTTGGGATCACAATTAGGGAGTGGCGCTGGCTTCTCGTCGGTCTTTTGCCGCTTGCAATTGAATACCCCCCCCCCTTCTACATTCTTTTTCTCATCTGCCAAGCATGATCCTTCGTCATGCTTCACATTCGCATCAGGCACTGTTGTAGGAAGGGCAGGTGGTGTTTTGGGTGTTTTGACCAGGCCTCGTCCAGCTTGTTGCTCCACCCCCAGAATCATGGCCCACTTCCCCAGACAGGGCTTCGGCAAAAGAGACAGACGCTAGTAAGCCCCATCAACGATGAGAAAGATTCTTCTCCCCACTCCGCTTTGGTAGGCTGGAACGTCCATCATCCGTGTTGTGCACTCTTCAGCCCGGCTGATCAGGATCAGCCAAGCCTCACTCAGTCTTTATATGCGAAATGGCAGCAAAACGAGTTGATGAGCTATGCATCACAAGACGCGATGAATTTTCACAATACATCTTTTTTTCGATTTGAGTCGTTGCGTCAACTGCCATCACCCTGTGTACATTATTTCTCCAACAATCTCCAAACAAAGGAGCCGGCGTCGTGAAGTTCTCATATTTAAGGCACAAACTATGATAGCTATCAAACAAGTGTTTAAAGGTAATGAAGTGCCTGTTGCCTGAGGTGTTTGGATGGCGAAGATATGGGCGACAGGTGCATTTATGGTGATCCTACTCTTGGAAATATTATAATATCATTGGTTGGGAGCAGGCTGGCTGGTACCCTGAGTATTGGAAGTATTTTATTTTGTAAGCTCTTTTACGGTGTTGAGTACGCACATAAGGTCATGAGACCATATGAGCAGCGATGTCTTGCGGCGTGCGTACTCTGAGCGAGCTAGCGCCAGAGTCGCGCGTGGTTTTGACCGGTGTCCTTTATTCTATTTTGCAACTAATTTTTTCTGGGAAAAGATTTTTTTTTCCCTACTATTTTTTATTTTTTGTTTTCGTGGACGAGACTACTGGATGTAGAAAAAATAAAAATAAGTGCGTTATCTTACTGATTTTAAAATTTAAATTCCTCTTTTTTAAGTCCTGTTGAGTATCTTTAGTGGAGAGTTTTTCTATTTATTTATTTTTTTTTTTTTAAAAAAAAACCCTCTATAAAGGGCATTTTACAGGAGGTAGGTGTCCATTGTTTTTTTAATATTCTGACCTTGAACCTGGAATTTACGGGTTTCAGCAGAAAAAAAATTACCAAAGATCGCGCATTTGTGCACGTTTTTCCACGGTTTCCGGCTTCGCGCGACTTCATCACCACAGGAACTATATAAAGCTTGTGTGGGTTCCCGTGCCCATTTCCAGCCGTGGCCGGGAAAGACGATTCAGTACACATCTGAGCATTAGCCCTGCAGCGACTTGAAGACAAAAAAAAAACGATCGTAATGAATTAGACAATTGTTTGGTCTTTTCTGGCGTGTACACGCATGGACCACAGGTATCCTAAATAAAAAAAAACTCGCGAGCATCTCTCTATATGATAAGAATGTAAAATGTGTTGTAAGTTCGGAAAGACGTTGTTGAGGCGTGTCTTGTCAAGTCAAGTGCATTCATCGAAAGGCTTGGCTCCAATTGGTTGCGGCCCACAATGACCTCAGCCTGAAGACGGCATCCGCGCCGTGTTGTTGATTCGCTACCACCAAATTGCGCACCACCACCACAACACATCGAGAAGTCCGCCGTGTTCCGACGGCTTATGCTTCAATCATTATATCGGCTGATAGCTGCACTGTTAGCGACAACGTCGATTCTGCATTTGAACTGCATTCTTTCCATGGCCGGAAGCTAGAAGCTTCCTACCTGGCCGTTCGGCTGTCCCCTTCACACGACTGTATTTGAACAACTTCTCTCGATCGCAGTTATCATGGCCTCACGACACGTACCCAATGCCCCCAGAGGCATTGGTCAGCAAAGGATGGTGACATATGCAAGCCAAGCCCGTAAACGAACATCGACCACGGCAACAACCCGCGATCCGGACCCCGATTCGTCGCGATCGAAGTTGTCGCAAATCTACGATTACCCGTCGTCGCCCGAGAGTACATATCAACCCTCGAAACTGCAAGACTCCTCGCTTAAAGCATCTAAAAAGATTCCCATATCATCCTCATCGAAACCAAATTCCAGTACTGCGCCAAGCAAGACACCACGACCGCCTCTTTCGAGAAATGGACTGGCGGGGAAGCGTGATCATGCCGCCGCCTTTCCTGCAGATCGCAGCCAAAGGGCCCAAAAAAATAAGGCCAACGATGAGGAAGATGGTGGTAGAAATGAAGCAGATATCCTAGCACGGCCAAGTCCCAACACCATCTCCAACCTCACTCAGCATGACGCAAAACAAGCTTCGAAAAACCATAGCTCTGATAGAGATCCGATTTCCGCTAGCGCAACGCCAGTGAAACGTACAAATGCAAGTTCTTCAAGACGACCGCGCCTGATAGATGCTCTCGCCGCCCAGAGAACGTCGCTCTCACTGGATGATGACGACGGAGAACGAGAACCGTCACTAGAAGTTGAACAGACATTGGATATGCGTCGGGATTTCCGATCCCAAGACGTAGACCGCAGCATCCGTACTCCAGATCGTCGGGGAACGACAACGCCGGCTAACCGTAAAGTTCGGTTCACCTACAGTCAGTCTCGAAGGATCGTCAGCGAATCGCAAACCCCGGAGCTTTTCGAAAGCCCTAGTAGAGCTCAGGAGAATGAGCTGGACCCATTACTAGCTGAGACACACGCGATTTCCAGCCCTCCGGCCGATGCCTTTGCCCCCGACGACTCTGATGACGAGGACAATACTCACCCTGCAATCAAGAGTGTCCATGAGTTAAGGCGCGCAGGCGCGAACAATAGATTTGCGGACGAGATGGACGATTTAATAGCAAGAATTGGTCTTCCGGGCACGAGCAGCGCTAGTATGAGACGAAATGCGCTCTGCGAACTGGTACAGAAGCTTCAGCGGAAGGAGTTTATGAGACAATTTCGAGACCACGCTTCTCGAGATGCGGTTGCTCGAGATATTGGAAAAGAACAGGATATCATTTGTGGTTTTGGTCTGGTATCCTACCTGCTTTCCTTTTTAACCGCTGGGCCGGCTCCAAATCTGCTACGGCAACTGGCTGGTGACGGTGTCGGTAGGCTGTTGGCACTACTTCTTCGTGTAGACGAGGACATTACAATTGTTGCTTCCCAGAAGAAGATGAACATGTCCAGAATGTCGAAATTGTCGGTCGATGGGGTGAAGTCCATTTTGCAAGGCCTACCAATATGGCATGGCTACCAACCTGTCTATCTGTCCCCACGAACAGCCGCTCTTCAGCTGATGGCCTTGCTTAGTCGCTGTGCAGACGCGGTGTTCCTGGATCAGATTCTCTCGGACGCACAGTCAGATATTGTTTCAGTTGCTACCTGGGCAAGCGAGGAAGGATCTTGCGGCGACGTGGACTATGCTCTAACTGTATTCACCCTCGAAACTCAGTCCAGTGCTGGAGTAGCCCCAAGGCTGAATTCAGACGGCGGCCATCCAGCGAGGATCGCCAGGCTGCTTTTGCGAGCACTCCAGCAATGGCCGAGTGGACGGCCAGAGCTAGACTCGGCGATTCTTAAGCTGGCCATTAACACCACCAATGCTGAGGATGAAGCGGCAGCATTTGATGACTCGCAACTTTCTACAAAGCTAGCGCGTCGTGTTGGCTACCTGTTTGCCAACGTACGCAATACGATTTTGGCGGGGAAGTTGGATGGCGAGACGTATGATGAACTCTTGCTCTTGCTGGGCGTCATGATAAATATTATGGAGCACTGCACTCCCGCGAGAAGGGCCGTGACAGAGGACACCATGGATAATCTAGTAAAGTTGTGGCAGGATAATAAGGAGTCTGTTGGCGAGGTAAGCGGCCCGTTTAATCTTCCTCTCTGTCCCTTTACTGCTGTGCTAACCCGTAACTAGGCAGACTCTGTAGACAAATCCAAATTGAGCGTTGCCGTTGGATACTTGTCTGTGCTACTCGGGTACATGTGCCTGACAAGACAGGCGAGGGGTTGCCTAGAGCACCATGTTGGCCCTGGGGCACTGCAAGGCCTCCGGACTTCGATCCAACAATTCGCAAGCATGTATAAAGCCGTGGATAACAAAGCTCACGCAATGGACATTCTCGTGCAGGAGCTTCGGCGGGTAATTTGAGCTGCTCTCTTTTGTCAACAACACAAACCGTGCATATCTGTGCATAATCGAGGGAGGTCTACCAGACGGGTCAGGGTTGACTGCGCCTGCTCATGCGGTGTTTCGGCGCTCGTCTGTTGTCTTGTTGGTTTTATGGATAACGTGGCGAATTGATGGATAGATATTGGTAACGGGTTGGGGGGTGTATGTCAGTCGAAGCTAGCTCTGCATTGGGTCATTATTTATTCATGAATCGTCGATCATTGTGATCTATTTTTGCCATGAACTTCATGGATGGGACACCGAGGCGTAACCACCCATCACCTTTACTTTTATTGAGTTCCATGCGTCCTGTCTTCGTAGGCGTAAGCTCGTTGCCAGCCAGCGCCCGCCGCGTGAGAGAACAGTGGGCGTAGCTTAATACCTGACAGTTTTCAACATCGCTGATCTTGCGGTACTCCTTACAGCAGCCCCCGCATGGGGGCCCGCATGGGGTCAAATTGGTTGACGGAGAAAAGGTATTGTGACGAAAAGGCGACGACTCTGGCGAGGTATGCATGTGATGAATCTGGCCGGTCCCGGAGCCTACCCCACTACCACGCTCTAGTCTGATTGCGTCCTGGTACGTCTGGGTAGGTACTCCGTACTCCGTACTAGGTACCTACCTAGGTAGGTAGTTCTGGTTGGCACTGATGGTGGGAACTTGATGGTGGGCTGACGGCGAATGCTCAAGCGGGCAGACACTAGGTGGGCATCATCGACCAAGTTCGCGCCGTGTTCGTCGAACCGCGCAATCGCTAAACGCTGTCGGAAGAACGGACACCCCATGAGCCTTTATCACGGCACTGTTGCGCCGTAGAAGTCACCATTTTGTCCCTTAACATCTGCCGCGCCTACCAGAATGCCTGCGCCGAAGCAAAGAAAGGTAGCCATCGTCGGCAGCCGATCCGTAGGTAAGGGCGGACAGGAATATGCCATGGAAGCAACACGACTACAAATACTGACCAGAATCAGGAAAATCTTCCCTTGCGGTCCAATTTGTCGACGGACACTTTGTAGACAGCTACTACCCAACGATCGAGAACACTTTTAGCAAGACAATCCGGTATAAAGGCCAGGACTATGCCACAGAAATTGTCGACACTGCTGGTCAGGATGAATACAGCATCCTGAATTCCAAACATTTCATTGGCATCCATGGCTACATGCTTGTGTACTCAGTCTCGTCTCTGCCCTCATTTGAAATGATCCAGGTCATCAGGGAAAAGATCCTCAACCATTTGGTAAGTCCCCCCCGGGCGTCAAGGGCAATCTTTCTCGCCACAGACAATGCTCGCCACTGACAGAGTGACTCTTGGGCCACGGCCAACAGGGGAGCGAATCTGTCCCTATTGTCATAGTCGGCAACAAAAGCGACCTGCGACCTGAACAACGCCAAGTGAGCCCAGAGGAAGGAAAGAAGCTGTCGGAGAAGTTCCACTGTGGCTGGACAGAGGCAAGCGCGCGATACAATGAGAATGTTGGTCGCGCGTTCGAACTGTTGATTGCCCAGATCGAGAAGTCACAGAACCCGGGCGAGGCCCCAGAAAAGGGCAACTGTTCTCTAATGTAACATCATAGGAGAAGTATAGCTGCGGGCAGCTTGGGGTTGAGGCTCTTGGGAATATACACACACATATATATATAGGTCTATTACACTATAAACGATTTCAATATCAGTATTATGAACTCAGGAGCACATTTTGCAATTGAGTGGTCTCTGGCGTGTCATAAACCTAAATCTTACGACATGTGTACAGGGCTCTGCCCATTCACACAACCAAGAGCTCGTGGTGAGGAACATCGTTGGCTGTCGATGCAGAGAAGGCCAAGGTATGTGAGGGTTGGCTACTACCTAGATAAGCGCCATAGTCACCCAGAGTAAGGAGCAAGGCCCTTCACGATTGCCGCAACCAAACTGGCGAAGGCTACGCAAAATCAGAGGACGACGATATACTGCTCAGGTTGAGTAAAAGTTGGGCGTCCTCGTGCCTGGCTTGACTTGACAAAATGTTAGGCTTTTATCAGCCTCGCCCCGCCACAGCCACATTTCTGCTCTGCTGCCAATGTGCTGCACATGCTCAAGTTTTTTGTCCACCCCCTGATATCTTTTCGACCCCACCGACCAACACACAGTCTGCCCCTCCTCTCCCCCACCAAAAAAAAAGGTGACTATTCGGGGAGAGTGTTAGGTTGTTCACCAAACTGTCTCGTGCAAGCTGTGACTCAAAAGAAAGGGAATTGCCTTCAACTCCCCAAATAGTCACATATTCCGCACAAAAACAACGGAATCTGTGTGGTTCTAAGAATACCGACAACAAGCAGACAGAAAGACCGGGATATTACACCCAAGCTCCGATACCAGCTTTGCGAACGTCCTCGAATCGAACAAATATCTACAAAATGCTTGATGTTATAGACTTTATCACGGAGCGCGGTGGTGATCCGGAGAAGATTCGCGAGTCTCAACGTCGCAGATCCGCCAATGTCGACGTTGTGGACGAGATTATCGCCCTTTTTGAAGATCACCGAAGAAGTAAGTCCATCAATCCCTCGCAACTTGAAGCTAGAATCAACCCCGAGCTGACAAAAACACCGTCGTTCGCGACTAGCCCAGTACAGCGCTACACAAGTGAACAGCAAGATCAATGATGTTCAGAAGCAAATTGGAGCTAAGAAGAAGGTTAGGCAAGGCCAAAGATAAAATTGTCGACGGAAACACCCTTCGTTCCCTTTTCTTTCGCTTTCTCTTCTATTTCTTTGCGTGATCCCCCGAACTATCGCTAACGGTTTACAATCTAGGCTAAGGAGGATGCGGATGAGCTTCTCAAGCAGAAAGGTGAGCTTGAGAAGAAGAAGAAGGCATTGGTAGAGTCCGCTGTCGAAAAAGATGCATTACTCAAAGCCAAGATCAAGACGGTAGGCAACTACGTACATGACTCCGTGCCCGTGAGCAATAACGAGGTTTGTACCATCCATGAGTGTATGTGGCTCCAACGTGATGTGATTTTAACACCATTCCACAGGACAACAACGTGGTAGAACGTACATGGGCACCAGAAGGTGCCACGGTAGAGAAGCGCAGTAATGTTCTTTCTCATCATGAAGTCCTTCTTAGACTCGATGGCTACGATCCCGACCGTGGTGTGAAGGTAGTTGGCCACCGTGGCTACTTCTTACGACAGTGGGGAGTATTTTTGAACCAGGCTCTAATCAACTATGGCCTTGAATTCCTCAGCCAGCGAGGGTATACTCCCTTGCAGACGCCGCAATTCATGCTCAAGGATTACATGGGCAAGACCGCTCAACTTGAGCAGTTCGACGAGGAGTTGTACAAAGTGACAGATGGTGAAGCAAAAAATGACAAGTACCTGATTGCTACGTCGGAACAGCCTATTTCCGCATTCCATGCTGATGAATGGCTGATCCCCAAGGACCTTCCCATCAAGTAAGTTCATGGGCTGTTAGGGCAATAACGTCATATTTTCTACTTGATCTATTATTAACAATAGACTCCCTCAGATATGCTGGTTACAGCACTTGCTACAGACGTGAAGCAGGTTCCCATGGCAGAGATGCCTGGGGTATTTACCGTGTCCACCAGTTTGAAAAGGTAAAGGCATACCTCGCAGCACCATGTATCAACTGAGGGTCTTTCATCGCTGACAGAGCAAAGATTGAACAATTCCTCTTAACGGATCCGGAAAAATCTTGGGATGCCTTCCATGATATGATAGGTATTTCCGAGGAGTTCTACAAGTCGCTTGAGTTGCCGTATCAGATTGTGTCAATTGTGTCTGGCGCATTGAATAACGCGGCGTCCAAGAAATTGGATCTGGAGGCCTGGTTTCCCTTCCAAGGCGAATACAAAGAACTTGTCTCTTGCTCCAACTGTACCGACTATCAGTCTCGCGCCCTTGAGATACGATTTGGCTCCAAGATGCAGACTGATGTCAAAAAGAAATATGTTCATTGTCTCAACTCTACGCTGTGTGCGACGACCAGAACTATGTGCTGCATTTTGGAGAATTACCAGACCGAGGAGGTGAGTAGTGCTGAGCCAGCCCTCCGCAAAGAGAGTCCACATATTTTCACGGAGCAAAATTTTCTAACTAATCACATAATAGGGGCTGAGAGTACCAGAACCTCTCAGGAAGTATCTCCCGGGAGCACCAGAATTTATTCCTTTTGCCAAGGAGTTGTCAAAGGAGTCTACCTCACAGAAATCTCTACCTCAGCGACCAAAGGGAGGAAAGTAGCTGCCCGGGCCCTCACCATACTGTCATCTGCGCTTCCGCAACTGACTATGCATTGGTGCTATTATACGCGTTATGCAGATGGGATACTGGAATGGCATGATAGACAATCTTATACAAGATTTCCCTCGTTTCATCATGATGCTCGTTCTGTATTGTGTAAATGTGGAGCCGAAACAGATGGAATGTGCTACTTTAGGGATTGTGGAAGCTTGGTCGGATGTAACTGATGCAAGTATGTTCCACGCACAAAATCAGGTAGCCAGGAGACTATTTCGTAGTCGCACAAGTAAAATTACATTTTAATCTCAGGCGTCAGCAAAATTCTGTGTGTATCCGTTAAAATGGACACAAGTCGCAAGTGGTGTTCGTTGGTGGTTTAGCAGGGTGGCGCAGGTGTATGCTACCAACGCCCGACGTTGGCTGAGCCACATAACTGCTCAGCATTCGGCCTTCAGCACCAGCCTCCCAGTATTCATTCTTACACAAACAAGACTGGATTCAGTGACGAACTGCACTCCTGACAATACGACTGTTTGTCTTGATTTGCGATCGTCTGGGGAGCCAAAGTGCCGGTGAGCATGCCAGGATGGGTAGACATATTCCGACGCCAGAGGAGAGGAAGTCAGCATACCAGAAGTCTTAAGCCTCGCCGTAGCAAGCAGAATGCGCAACCCGTCGCCTTGGGAGCACCGACTGCTATCAATCCAGAGGTTGAGAGGCTGAGTGAAACGAGGCAGGGTGGCAACAGAAAGAAGCAATCGGCACCATCACTCGGAGTAAGTCCATGGCCCAACGCTCAAGGATCGCCCAGACGGAACGACTAACTTCCCCATCACAGACGAACCACCTCGGGAAATTCGCCTATGAAGATGAAATGCCAAGCTGGCTAGCGAGAAGACTAGCTAAAGGCGGCCAGATTTGTACTGATGGTAAGAAGCCTGCCGACAAGAGGCCGATCATGGCCTACTTCATGGGATGTAGCATGGCAGCTAAGTATGTTGTGTAGGTGTTATCCCGGTCCTGGCGAAGCTTGTGGAAAAGAGTCATTCAATAAGCTATGCGTATTTTTGTCACCCTTGCGTGCAGCATGTGTCGAAGTTGAGCCGAGAAGGTAAGCGTATCACTTTGAAGTTGACATGATTACTGACCTTCAGGGGAAACTAGGAGGATTTTGTGGATATCGAAACATTCAATCTCTGACATCCTATGTAATTAATGCCAGAACATCAGGCCACGAGCATTTCCAGGACGGCCTTCCCTCAATCTTTCAGATTCAGGACTTGATTGAGTCGGCTTGGGATCTCGGTCACAACTCAAACGGTCGGCTTGAAACTGGGGGAATTAGAGGAACCCGAAAATACATTGGCACACCAGAGGCAAGGACGCACAATTAAGCTCTATGGAAAGAGTTTCATTGCTGACGGCCTTTTTCGGATAGGCACATGCACTTTTCAGCAGTCTCGCAATTCCGTATGATCACCACTTGCCACGCACAAATTTTCTTTACTCACTCTGGTACTAGATGTGTAGTGAGGGCATTTCGCCCTGTAGAGACGGGAGAGGCGTGGGAAAACATGATACAGGCAATAGAGGCATATTTTGCAGCGGAATGGGACACAAAGCTGGAGAAAAAAGTGCGCCATACAAATCTCCCACCTATTTACCTACAGCACCAGGGTAGGTGAGACAATGCACAATACTTCCAAACCAAGAGAACATTGACAAATCAATTAGGACACTCCCTCACTGTTGTGGGCTTTGAAAGAAGCTTGGGCGGAGGGTCCTGCCTCTATGTGTTTGACCCTTCGAGTCGGGACCCAGAGTCGATCAAAAAGCACACCAGCAAAGGCTTGAAAAACATTGCCACGAGGGCAGATTCTCTTGTTGATCCTTACAGGCGAGGGAAAACATACTTAAGCAAGTACCCAGAATTCGAGGTTTTGTTGTGAGTGTTGATTTTGGGGCGCCTTGTGCTACTCTCGCCTACTTGTACTAACAGCTCGCTCTCCGATGAAGCCTACAAGAAGCCATACCGGGACCTTGACTCGATACAATAAAAAGCCTTCACTATTGTTGGCGCTCGCCCTCAAACCATTGCCGAAGCTTTTCAAGTGCACGACTGCGGTGAGATATCTTGTTCTTCTCCGCCCCGTCCATTTCAGCGAATCTGGATTGCCCGACAAATTAGCACACCTATAATGATTGAAACACCAGGCTTAGGACTTCAATTGAAGACGTTTGAAAGGATAGGGCGTGCGAAAGTGTAGTAAGGAAGGTTCTTCTGTGCTAACATACGTTCTCCCATCATGTTCGAAGATAGGATCCCAACCTACAAGACAATGTTTCATTAGCAGTCGTTTATGCCTGATTTTATTGACTTAATTGAGTATCAACTGCTTTGATGTATCACGGGATGGCACTTACCAAAATGAGTCGGCCCCCTTGCAGGGACAATATTTCCCTTCGACCCAGGACAAGATTAGCTGGCTGGCTGGCTGCTTGTACAAACAGTGCACAGATCGAAAGCACAAACAAACAACTCACCGGACACCTCCCTTGGAAAATAATTGGTTTATGTCCTGGGCCCTCAGAATAGCCAAATGTACAGACAGCCTCGGCGGACTTGTCTGCGTATGCAGCTAAGAGATTGTTCAAACCTTCGTGGCCAATACCCGCCAAGAACCATTTACTGCACTCAAACCAACAAGGGGTCGTTAGAAGAAGCAGGTAGCCATGTAATGAATTTGCCGGTCTGGTACTCAGGTCGTCGTCTTACATATAGGGTCCTGGTAGCCCTGCAAGAGCATTGAAACACAGGGCTGTGTCTTCCACAAGTACGGGCCCATTCACAAGTTCAGCAGCCCTACGACACTTGAACTCGGTTACCTCCTCAATGGAACCCTGGACCTCCTCGATGTCTATGGGATTGCTCCGGACTTCGATACCAGGCTCAAGTATGGCCTTTACCTCCCGAAGCTTGTTAGAATTGCCGGTGACGAAATTAACACATGGTGCCATAGTGTCGTCTTATACACATGTAAAAACTAGATTCCTGCTGAATATTGTCAATACCCTAAATTCAATCTCTGCTCCCTTATGCACATCGTTGATCATAAATAGTGAGCATACTAGTGTGGAAAAGAAGGTGTTCCCCCAACGAATAGGTCCATTCCAAGTGGGAGCCAAGTGTCGATGACCAAAGGTGGGATAAAGAGTAGGCATTTACCTCGTGAAAAGGTACACGATTTCGGGATGGAAATATTGGCTCAGGTTCCAGATGCCCGGAACAGGGATGGTGGTTTAACGTGAAGTTCCAGATGCCCGGTACAGGAATGGTGGTTTAACTTGAAGTTCCAGATGCCCGGTACAGGAATGGTGGTTTAACTTGAAGTTCCCGATGCCCGGAACAGGAATGGTGGGTTAACTTGAAGCAGTTTTCTAGACTGTCAGAAGCTGTGCTGCTAGTGTTGTGTCCATTCCGAGAAGAGAGCAAACACAAAACTGAGGCCCCGTTATGTGCATACCAAAATAGTGGTGGGAACCTATAATCCACAGTGGGATGTCCAGAAAGAAAGCCCCTAGTCGTGATGGCTCATATCTTGTTGCAATTTTCTAAAGAAAGCAGATGTCGCTCCAACTTTCAAGTCTATCAAATATCTTCTCTTATGCCCTTTTGCCCTTCAGGTCTTGCTCTTCAAAGCATTACCAGCAGAAGCATTATCCAGCTTCCATTGCTTAACCCACGCTTCAATTCGGTCTACATTAGATTCCATCTCATCAGAGGTGTTGCTCATCAACTCAATGACAATCTCCTCATCAAAAGCCTCCCGTGCCTCTTGAAGTAACACCTCCATGATTTCTGAGTCCAGGTTCTCCTGAAGCTTGGCTTCGGCATAGTCTCTGTTTATCATAAGGTGCATCAGCCTTCCAATTCTGGCTCTTTGAGAAATGTATGACAGAGAAAGAAACTGTGGCAGAACGGCACCGCACATTTGGAGTCCGCCATGTAGCTCACCTAGCCGTCAACCTATCAAACAAGGTTGAAGAATCCGCCCTCAGAACCACAACCAGGTCTATCCAGCTTCGTGGGAAAAGGTCACAGGCATGCCAGTCGATTATACAGCCACCAGCTTTGACATCTTCCTCAATGGCATCTAGTAGCTGAGAAAAGTATTCGCAGTCAGCCGTAGTGATGTTTCTAGGTAGTGAGCGGGCTATTCTTACTTTATCTTCATCCACAATCCAGCTCTGATATTCGTCACTCCAACCTTCGTGGCACTCCTTATCCTTGACTATTTGGTTCACGGAGACATGTCGAAGTCCAGTTCGCTCTGCTAAACTCTCGCTGTGGGTGGTCTTGCCCACACCCGGGGTTCCAGTTACAATGATGTTCGGGTTTTGTCTCATCCTGTTCCTGTGACACCTGTACATAAATGGACTTGTCAGTTGGCTAAGTGTTTTTTCCCCAATTATTTGGGATCCCTTAGCCCAAAATATGTTTTAATGTCAGCGGTCAAATTTCGTCAAGAGAATTCTGGAGCCGTACCGCCCCAGTACTTTAAAACTCCACAGTTTATACTATGCCTATACCGAGGCGCATCTTCGCTTTAATGCATATCTATCTTCATGTACCATACTACTTGCTACTCCAGCCCGAGATCCCATACATTATAAAAACAAAAACAAAAGACAAAAGGCGGGTTCCCTAGAGTCTTATTATAAAATGAGACCCAAAAATACGTCGTCATAGCTAGACATACATTTACATCAATAGATAGGTGCCTAACATCTGCCAGACAGCTGATCGTTTCCGAATATGTGGGCGACAGTCCCTCAGCAACCAATGCCTTGAAGCTGCAACATCTTCCCTCATACATCTGCAATACATGACATGTCATAGTGTGCGCCAAGCTCCTCAAAGATCCATACACAGCTTGACTGGGGTCGTAAGCATAGCAGCCTAGCAACGCATCCTCTACCCCGTGGCCAAGACAAACCCAATAAAATGTACAGCCTCTATTTCTATAATCTTCCAGCCACTGTTTGCAAAATCGAATCTTACATAGTCTGCGTATATGATTTTACGTCTTTTATTGTGCAGGTTCAACAGCGGTTTCATCAGCTTCAAGAATATCGTCGTCTTGGCCTTCGAATTCGTCGGCATTTCCATACTCGAGCTTTTCTTGTTGGGCGATAGCTTGAGCAGAGACAATTTCGGCCAATCGTTTTAAACGAGGAGTTTGGAGCCCTTGTGGGTAGGTTAGCTCAAGGCAAAACATGACGCGAGTTACTAATATGGCTTACAAGATGGGGTGTAAGTCTCGAGCGCAGTAATCGCTCGAGGTTCTGCAATCTCGTAGGGTCCGCTATCGTCCATATCAACTGCCTGAAGGAGCAGTACGTCGCTCTTCTCTGTCACTCTAGAGGCAACAGCCTTCATGATTTCTCCATTAATGGGCTGTTCATAGTCTGCGACTAGGTACTGATTGAGCAGCTTTTGGATTTGGTTCGGTGAGAGCCTAGAAGGGCGTTAGTCATGAGCAATGCCAACCGTTTTCTTAGTTCAGAGCAACAGCAGCACATACATCCAACATATGTCCTGGATTATTTCAATGTCGTTTAGTGTAGCTTTCTTGAGTTGAAGAAGTTTTGTTGCTTGCTAAGCCATGGTAAAGGATGTCAGTAAAATGTTCATCGCCAAATTTTGTTTATTCGAAATCAAACCAGCTTACCATCAAATGCTCAAGCTGCAGTGTGCCTTCTGGCATATCATGGCTCTTACACCACTCCTCAATACGCGTAATATTATAGTTGATTTGCAGGCCTCGCTTCCATGAGAGGAAGTTGCGGCGCATGAGCAAGTCATTGAATGCAGTAACGCCGACAAGGCGAAGAAGCTCTGTGACCGTCTGTGTGAGAATAGAGTCTTCCAGGTAGAAAGCTTTCATAGCCCGGAAGACGCTGTTGAGCAAGCTCAATAGATTGTCCATGCTATAAGCCGGGGCAGAGTTGGACTGCAGAAGCTTGCCCAAAAACCTATTGCTCTCATTGGTGATGAAACCAGGAAGAGATTGCGATTCAATGATAGCTGGGATAATCATCTTGTGCAACTTTTTCTTCAGGACCTTCATCCAAGTATGGTAGATATTGAACTCCAAGCTCTCGAGGTCGTGCTTGACGATTTCAAGCAGGCGGTCATATTCGTAGTTGTCAGTCTTCTGTGTCTCGTACCAGTCTTCAGCAAGAAAAACAAACGACAACATCTCGTGCACGTTGGAAAGCCAGAATGCACCAGGGTTGATTGCCTCGTCCCCGTCGTGTTGCATTACCTCCTGCTGAATGGATTGCATCACATTTGCTAGGAAACGTTCTGATTCCTTGACAAACCCATTGTTCCACATCTCAGAGGTGACTAGGTTAATGAGGTAAGAGGGGAACAATACTTCTTTGTCGGAAGGCGGAGGGGTTGAATTTGGTGAGGGAATTTTCAGGTTGCGAATCAAGCCCATGGTCACCTCTTCGTTCAAGCCATCCTCGTCGGCAAGAAGCGACTCTAATTCCATTTCAATATTATCAACCCCAGGAATATATGTTGCCCCAGACAAGTTCTGACGATGAGCAGTGTTTGTGACAGCCATGGAAACTGGGCGAGGATTGTAGGCGGCACTGAAGCGATCCAAATCTCGGGGCTCAGCTCCGGCACTTCTACGCTTGGGCTTTTTGGAGGCAACGAGGTTAATGAGTCCGGTACCCGTCGATGCTGTCGCCGGGGCACCATTGGCGAGATCTCCATTGACAGGAGCGGTCCTCTTGGCCACTTCCAAAGCGTCACGCAGAGCGTCAAGCTCTTGTCTGAGACTGACATTGTCTTTTTCTCTGTCATTGCTCGTCTGCTTTGCAGACTCCAGTTCTGTGTTTGACAGGCGTAGTGATTCTCTTAAGTCGCGCTCCTCTTCTTGCATTCGTTTAATATTTGCTGTTGACTCATCGAATGCCTGCTGGAGTTTCTTCATCTCCTCCTCCATTGCCTGTAGACGCGCAACTGCGATACCCGCTTGGTTCGCCTCCGTCTGCAGTTCTTTCGTTCTCGCCTCAAGTGCGTTGTGCCGGTTCTTCCACGACTTGATTTGACTTTCGTAGTTCTCAACTTGTGCCGCAAGGTTCTTGTTCTTTTCCTTCATCGACCCCAAAGACTGAGTAAGTTCAACAACCTTGTTTTCCAGCTTGTACGAAATTTGCTTCAGATCGCGGGCCTCCTCCCGAATCTTCTTGTAGCCTCGTCTCGCAAGCTTACCACGCCACAGACTTTGAATCAAGGTCACCTTTCTTCGATACTGGCGCCAGGACTGTAGTTGTCGACGGGATCGCCAAGCCCGCTGAATGACAAGTGCGGCGTTGCCCACCCTGGTCTCCATAATCTGCTTTCGTCGAAGATAACCCTTGGCTGCTGACTCGAAGAGAATCATGTCCTTGCGGATAGCCAAGAACTTCTTTTGTTCTTTCTGGCCTCGCCATACACGTTGGATTGTAGTTGCTGCTCTTATAGTGCGGAGCTCCTGGGCCTGTCTTCTAGCAATATATGCTCTGCCAGCAGACTGGGTACGAATAACGGACTCTCGAGCCTCCAGATATCGACGACGATAGTACTTCGCTCTCAAATTCTTCTGAATGAGAATGGCACAGTCGTTTAGTCGACTTGTTCGTAGATTCTCCAGGAACGCAAGCATGCCAGCGCGGAAGAAGATCTTGGTTAGACCCAGCTGATACTTGTCCAGCCCTTTGCCAGTGCTTGTACCCAAAGCCTTTGTGAGGATGGCATTAGCCATTTCACGAATCTCTGCTGTCCACTGATCAGAATGCACAAGCATGTAATATCTGAGCGCAAACTCTTCATATGTCCACCTGGTAGGATATCCAGCGCAACTAATGCGAACGGTCTCCAAAACGCCACAAGCACGCAGCTGGCTTAAGACCATGGGGCCTTCAAATTGCCACGCTGCCTTGGCCTCATTAGGCTTGATACACCGAATATAATGAACGTCTGTATTGTTGATTGTATTCATCAATTCAATGAGAGAAGATCGGAAAATGCCCCCCAGTGTCGGCTTCCTGTTAACGGCAACCCCGATTTTCCTACCACCGGCGGGCTTCACAGCATTTGAGGAAGCAGAAGCAACATCTTTTTCCCTGACAGCTGAGGCAGCATCAAGCACTTGTTTCAGAAACGGGTTCGTAGTAGCCCGGAGTACTGTCATGTGTTCGTCCGGCACAGTATCTCGATTCTTCTCAATGAAGCCCTCTGATTCGTAGGTTACATCGATGGCGTAATGACAGACAGTGAAGGCGGATTTCCCAAATCTAGGCTTCTTGAAAAACGTGTGCTGCTTGTCTGTCGCAAAATTATGGTGAAGTTTTGTAACAAACTGTTCGTCCGAGCCCATGGGCAATCTGGACTCTTCGTCCAGGAGGGACAATATACCCAATTTGCCTTCAATGAGGTCGATACAGGGCTGGTTGTCCGAGAAGTCAATGAATGTCCAGTCAATCTGTTCTCTTAAATATTCTTCTTGTTCCAGCTTGAACACATGTTGATTGAATTCTTGTTGCAGCTTCTCATTGGCGTAATTAATACAAAATTGCTCAAACGAATTTTTAGCAAAATGTTCGAATCCATAGATATCCAGGACGCCAATAAAGGATTTCACACGGTTGAGAACTTCTTCAGTAGCCAGACTACGGTTGATAATCTCCACTAGCCAGTCGAACAAGCTTGAGTAGATAAATTTGGCAACTGAATCACGCACAACAATGGCTTGAGCTTGGCTCAAATTTGATGTGATTTTCTCGCCTCGAGTGATGAGCTGTTTCTTGACGATCCATTTGGCGAATTCAGGCGCATCGACTCCGAGGATGGCACAGGACTTCTCCAGCGACGGCTCTGTTGGCGCAAGAACGCTGTCGGTTCTGGACGCTGTGATCTTCACATTACCAAGATGCAGCAAACCAGCCAGAAGCTTGAAGATGTCATTTTGTTGAGCCTCTGAGACGCCAATCGTCTGCAAAGATTTCTTGGTAGCCTCGAATTCAGCTTTGTCATCCACACCGTCAATAGTAGGACAATTGCCTTGGTTGAGATACTCGAACTGCTCAATGGGTAGGATATCAAGGTCCTGACGTTGGCTGTCAGAGGCACCGGCGACAAGCTGGTAAAAGATGTGGTAGTTTCGCTCTTTGAGGGGTTGGAAGACCAGACGCGATCGCTCTAGCAGGTACGTTCTTATCTTAGCACCGATAATATTCGTTTTTTCGTCGAACATGATCTCAATATATTTGCCAAATCTTGAGCTATTATCATTTCTTGTCGTTTTGGCGTTGCCGAAAGCTTCCATGATAGGGTTAGTAGCCAGGATCTGCTCTTCGGTCTCGCTCATGGCTTCAGGACCTCGCTTGGAGCGGGCTCCTGGGTTTTCGGGTGACTCTCTGGTCGCGAAGTACCGCATAATATACTTGGCGCTTACAGTCTTCCCGGCACCCGATTCGCCGGACACAACAATAGTCTGATTCTTGTTATCTCGAATCATGTCTCTGAATTAGTTCTTGACGTTAGTACGTGCGATGTCGTAGAGCAAAGATATAGCATATTCGTACATGAAGGCTTCTTCGGCGATGGCAAAAAGATGCGGAGCTTGGGTCGCTCGCTGTTTCCCGGCGTAGACTTGTACCATACCCGGTACATAAAGAGAGTCGACTCGAGCAAACGGATTTGTTGCAATGAGGACGATTCCACTGTAAGTGTAGATTTCCTTCTGTAAATATCGTAATCTGATCGCTTGTAACACTGCGGATAATATCAGCTTAATATTCGATCTTGGTGAATGTCTCTAAATCCCAGTGGGCAGTCGTACCAGCAGGTTCGTTAAGATGGGATAGATTGGTAAGGTCATCGCTGGCTTCCAGCATCGTAGGGTTCATCAGGGGCGGTAATGATGCATGATTTCCGCTTTGTAAAGCATCGACTGGAACCTCGACGGTCTTGGTCTAACGAAAGGGAAAATAGCTGTTAGCCAAGGCCTTAAATAAAATTATGAATGCTCTATTGATAGGGGACAGATGACATACCTCGCCATTATCCAGTTTAAAGACAAGTTTTGCTGTTGAACCGTCAATGTCTTTACTGACCAGCTCCGAGGCTACCCAACCCTCGGCAGCATCAGGCTGCCACGCCCTCGTGCCAACGTCGTATGTCGATGCCATAGGGATGACTACCAGGCAAGGCGCTGGTTGAGAATCGACAAAAGACGACGGCGTGTGTTATTAGGAATGTGAAGAAGGTGACTTGGGTGATGGTTCTTTCATGGACGGAGGATGCTTCAAAGAAGCTCCCTGAGCAGTTGCGACGTCTTAGCCACTTGGATACAATAAAGGGGGGCGGGTCCAAAATACGGGGCAAGCTTCCAAATGCCAGGGACGGTCTACAAGGACCGATAAAGTCCAAACGCAGAGAATAGGCCCAGAGTCCAACAACCCTTTAGAAGGGTAAGCGATTTGGCATAGAGTTAAAAGTACAAGATTAAATTTCGACAGGAGACCAACAAGGAGTTCGGTGAAAGCTGCCAAAGTGCAGATGGTACGCCAGCGATTGTTACGGAATAGCAAAACCACCGGATCCGCAACACGCTTCCAAACTTCTCCAGGTTGGACCAGGCCCGCCAGGGGTTAGGTGGTTGGTGGCACTGGGTCTGGGTCTTGAAGTCCGGTCATTAATGCAGGGGCTTAATGCGCTGAGGCCCCATTTCTCAGTGCGCATTGCCATTGTATCAGATTGTCTTGCATGTTCTGGTACATTTCGCAAACGTACCGCTATCGACATCTGTCAAGTGGTCAACATGAGCGGTCGTTCTGCTTGCTACCATCTGAGGGTACCTGTGTCCCTAGCAGTCTAAGGGGAATCTGGGCACAGTTGTTTGTGTTCGGTCCTCCCACACACGGACGCTCTTTCCTCCTTTGAGTAAAGATCGGGCTTGCTCCTTCGATGCTCAAAGGCCTCCATTGTGGGCGCACACCAGAGTCCCTAGCAATAGAGGTACTAGGTAGGTCTGTGCGAGGGTCGTCACTGCATTTCAGTAACCTCCCCATCTGATAGAGAAACAAGTCTCTCTACCTACAGTGGGAGGCTATAAGAATTGTAAGCCCAAAGGCTTTATCAATACATAAGTCTGGTACTCTATATATTTTTGGGTCACAATGTTTTTGTCTCCGGGCGGAACGCCTATCTTTGCCTCCATTGCCCCATTGTGGTGGACACGTGCCCAACCTCTCGCCCTCCTGCATTACCAGATGTACCGAGTAGCCCGACGGCCATAGACCTCAGAGCACTCCAATCCCAATGAGACTCAAAGCCAAAAATTCCAGCACAATGCACGTGTTATACAGTTTGACACGCAGAATTATTAGCACATCTCGAGGGCTTCATTGGCATCTTGTACGGTGTTCTGGTATTTTAACTCGATGGGTGTGCAGCATTTCAGACTTACTACTGTCCCAGAAGGCACATCCTGGAAATGCCAATGAGAAGTATTCGGAGCTTTGAGTATCTGTACACGCTCACTTGTATTTCAATCCGAGTAACTTGGTCAGCCTTTTGCCAGCTCCGTGGGAATCTGAAACAAAACCCGATGGTCCTTAAAGAATACTCCGTAACGAATACACAGTAGCCAGTTACACCAAGCCTCTAGGACTTGAAGCAAATTGAAGGTCTAGTGATTGTCCAGTGTCCATAATCTACCTGTGGAGAAACCATCGTCCAACGTTCGTTGAAAGTTGTCATGAAAGAGATAGCACACAATAAGCGGCTTGTTTTTTTTTTTTCTCTATCCTCCATAGCCGAGATTTTAGTGATTTAACGTAAAAATTTCATCACTTTATGCTAAAGTTGTTGTTGAGCTCAACTGTACGAATTATGCCAATCCATTACCATCACTTTTCCATAATAATTCCCAACGCCAAAGGTCCAATCCTTAGCATGACTGTTCCTGCAATCAGAACCCAGTTGCCAGTCGTCATGGCCTTCATTAGGAATTCAGCGCGTTGAGCGCGGCGTCCCATATATCCCTGTAAACTCCTCGGATGCGGACATCTAATATAACACCCGCGTCATAATACATGCTAAAGACACATCGACGTTAGTAATTGGGCGTATGGTGATTCTACCGCAGAGATACGAACAGCTCAGTGCTTCTAGACTTTCATTTATATCCTTGATTTCCTCGTAGCGAACATTGCTGATATCCGCCATCAAGTAGGCAACCTTGTGAGGTCATGTTAGACAAGTACTATAACTATACATCGGCAACCTTGACTTACGTCGCCTTTGCTATCGCTGATTTGCTTATCAACGTTGTGGTCGCCGAGGATCTCGTTAACTATGGAACAGGTTAGTAGCCACCTCTGAACCCAGACAAATTTGATGTCTAGGGTGGGGGTGGGGGTTGTATGTTCAGCTCACCTTTGCGCAGCACACCAGGAACATTGCGGTGAATGTAAATGACCTGGAAAGCAACAAATATTAGTCAAGGAAGAGCACAGGGTAGTGAACAAGAATGACTATGTATTCAGACAAGGCATTGCTGAAATACGGGGAGGAGTCCCTACCCTGGCATGATTTGGTTCATCCAGCGTCAAAGATCTCAATTGGGCCTCAGGCAAGTTCACACTTCCAAGTGTTATACCTTGGTTGATGTAACGAACAAGGGCATCCGCGACTTTTGAAAATTGGACAAGTCAGTATCATGACAATGGAAACATCTTGCTATTCGCGTGCTCACCTTCGATACCAATTGCACGCTGTGCCTCCTCTGTGCTACCGCCAATGTGGGGAGTAAGTATGATGTTATTCAGAGATCTGAGGTCTTCTGCCCAATGGTTCAGGTTGTTGGTGAAATAGTCACCATTGGCAGCCGGCTCGCTGGGATACACATCAAGGGCAGCCCCTGCAACCTGTCCAGATCGCATTGCTTTCACCAAAGCCGGGATGTCCACAACAGTGCCTCTACTGGCGTTGATGAGATAGGACCCGTTCTTCATCCGTTCGAATTGAGCCGTTGAAATCATCCCTCGAGTCTCCGGAAGATCAGGCACGTGAAGAGTGACAAAATCGGCCTCTTCCAGAAGGTTGTCTAGAGTTGGAACTTGGCGAGAAGTGCCGAGCGCCATTAGGGTGATCACATCATAGTAGATCACATTCATGCCCATGGCCTCCGCGAGAACCGAAAGCTGTGAACCAATATGACCGTATCCGACGATACCTATGGAAGCTGGTCAATATCCAAAGTGTCGCATTACTTCGACGCAGCAGCCATGGAGAGGCACCGTATGGACAAATAATAATCGCTCCGGATACGTTTTCTTACCTAGGGTCTTGCCTCGAATCTCCCAGCACTTAGCGCTAACCTTATTCCACGTTCCACGATGCATCTCAGAAGAGCGATCACCCAGCTGACGTGCAAGGGTGATGATCTCCGCAATGACGAGTTCCGCAACGCTACGAGAGTTGGCAAAAGGTGAGTTGAAAACTGCGATCCCGTGGCGAGCAGCATATTCAAGATCGACCTGATTCGTCCCGATGCAGAAGCAGCCAATAACCAGAAGATTTTTGGCTTCTCTCAGCACGCGCTCGTTCAATTTCGTCTTGGATCGGATACCGATAACGTGCACATCGCTGCGAAATAAATTTGGAGTCAGTGATTTTAACCTTGGGTAGAAATTCGACTAATGGTGGCGGATTTACGCTGAACAGAACTTACCGAATCTTTGCAATCAACTGATCCTCAGGAAGAGAAGTTTTGAGCGCCTCGACTTGATAGCCCTGTCCTCGAAGAATCTCTTGTCCGGTGGTGTTGACATTTTCTAAAAGCAGAATTTTAATATCCTGCGTATTGAAAGGTTTGAGCTGTTTCGGTGCGCCGCGATAAGCTAATGCCCCTCCCCAACTAGACGGCGGAGACTGGAAAGTGGCCGTTGGGGAGGTCGACAAATTGTTCGGATCCCAGCTATGAGAGACCGTTCTTGAAGTCACTGTATGGATATCGACGGGCGGCGTCATGGCGAAGTAATATCAACACGATAACTCTGTCCGAAAAGATCAATGTCGTAACAACAGAAGAGAAGGTAAAGGTTTGGCGGGGTAGAGCATGTTACAGACGGAAAATACGTAGGTATTTAAGCAAATTTGAACATCAGCTGGCACCTGGGGGCTTCGGTGGCAGCGTCCAGTATACCTACCAGGTGCTCAAAGTACCAGACCCTAGTACGTACTGAAAGTACTCCGTACCAGACTTACTGAGGACTCGGAACAGAGAACGACGATTTGACACGGCCGGTCGCGCCGGATTATGTTGGGAGCGCCTCCAGGTCTGGCGCCACTCCTGACTGTTCAGTCGGACACAAACTGGTTGTGGTTACCCTTAGCTGTCCCTTTGAGGTAATTCCTTCAGGTTAGACCCTGTATTACACATCCACCCTTGTTGTGAGGTACACCCTTATCCCTTTGAGTGTGCGCAGGTGCCATTTTGGTAACGACCAAGGATGTTAACCAATTAAAGACATGAGATTAAAAGATACTTAAGTCACCTAAGAATATATATGGTAAATAAAGTGCCTTATATACTAGAAGTTACAAGCATATAAGTGGCTACCCTGTTATGAACGATGTACTTAGCAAGTACTAGAGAAAAGTGGAGTATATACATAACAGGCACCTGCGCACACTCAAAGGGATTTGTCATTTGACTGCTGTCCATAAGGTGTAGATTGTTCTTTTGTCGCCACGCAGCGGCCAAGATGCGCCCCCGCGGATTAAAAGATACTTAAGTCACCTAAGAATATATATGGTAAATAAAGTGCCTTATATACTAGAAGTTACAAGCATATAAGTGGCTACCCTGTTATGAACGATGTACTTAGCAAGTACTAGAGAAAAGTGGAGTATATACATAACAGGCACCTGCGCACACTCAAAGGGATGGCGCTCATAAACTTCATATCACTACGATTGGGTGGGCTTGAAGTAAGTAGACCCGGCAGTATTGTACATGCATACATAGTGTGAAAGCGGATGATGTAGCCATTGCAGACAGACTTTTTCCATCTTGGAATAGCTCTCCCATACGTCTACCAAAATCAAGAGTCACGACAATACAAAAGCGTGGTGCGAATTGGGGCATGAAGTAGGTCGCCATTTCATGAACACCCTGGCAAAGTACCAGACTGTATGACTCGTGGGCCAGAAAAAAAAAAGCCTGTGTTGCTCAACAAGGTTGCGCGATCCGATCCCACAAGAGTTTAACTAGTTCTGCCAGTCACTGAGCGTAGTGAAATCCTATTGGTGCCCCGTCAACCTATCTGTCCCCTTTCTGGACGTAGAGACCCCTTGCACTCGAGACTAGTGCTCCGATCTACGGACGTCGGAAGCAAGAAAATGTGTCACCCTCTGTGACACAAGGTTGGTCCAGTGGACCACTCTAGCTACTAGGTACCTAGGTAGGTATGTATCCGTTCCTTTGACAGTGGCGCTCCGTGCCTTCAGAATACCATTTTTTTGGTGAGGGACAGTTCCATTGCAGCGTTTATATACGTATACAGAGAGCAATGTTTTCAATTCGAGGTTTCTGTTTTCCGCCCAAATACCTAAAGCCAAATATATTACATTCTTTGTTATTATGTATCTGATTAAATAGTTGGTTAATACATATTTCACTGTATTCTGGTTGAAATGGCTTGTTTTCTCTTCCAAGTGGCCCTAGCCAAAACTGCGCGATTCCCCTTTTAGAAGTACCGCTACGAGTTCGCCTCACCGTCTGCGGGCTCCATCCGGAGACATAATCCTGCATGCAGTTAATTCACGCCTCGGACGGATCGCCGGCGACGGACGGAATTGACGGGTTTGGCCAGCGCTGGTATTGTTGGTATGTTAGCTGTCGATTCGACGTGGATTCGATCACTGACCCTCCCTTTTGATTTGAATTCATGCATCTTGCGTTCGTCTCTTCGAAGCAGGAAATATCTAGCACATTTCTTTGGACGACGAAGGGGCTGAGTCATTACACTTCCCATTATATTATCCTGTGATACTCTCGCTGGTAGCGTAACAATATCGTAAACATTGGAGCTCATTCTATTCGATTAACATGCTTCAGTACGCGCAGTTGTCCTCCAAGAACGCAGAGTCAAATGAGACAGATGCCCGTGCTTCAGCTCCTGCTTCAATCCATCAATAGGTTTAGTACTGCTGGGTCATCCCATGCCTGGTCATCAAAGTTGTACGATGCTCTTGCCGAAGTATGGAGTTGGTCGCAATTGAAGTAACTGTCACTGTCTTCCCATAGAGAAAGAGGCATATCTGCCGATCGTCATAAGCCCCCCTTGTGTGTCTATGAAATCAATTCAAAGCCCTCTGAACTAATCCGTAAGCCTCCATCACTTGATACACCAGCATCAAATTCCCCGTCTGCGACATTCGTTACAGGCAAGCGTGCCAGTCGCCGTATTATTTGGTCATGCAACTGACCAGCCCAGTACTTCATACTGGTGGTCAAGACTATGTTTCAAAAAGGCAAAAGAAAATAATAATAATAAGTCACACAACTATCAGTCTCTTAACACCATAGTTGCTCAGCTTTGCTTGCACTCAGCAGCCTCCTGTTTGGGCTTTCCGGACTCATCCTAGTAGCACTTGATTAGATGACTGATAAACCAGGGAAAATCAGGCACGCAAACTTACTTCCTCGTCAGACTCTTCGTCCTCATCATGATCCTCGCTCATGTCATCCTCGTCATCGTCCTCGTCATCGTCAAAATCCTCACCATCCAAGTCATCCTCATCAAAGTCGTCCTCGAAGGCAAGAGCTTCACCGGTAAACCAATCAATGGCCCGAGGAATAAGTTTCTCCTTAATATCTTCACCGAGCTGGTAATCAAGCTCTAATCGATCTTCGATATCGGCCACGGCTTCTTCGTCCTCTACATCGTCTTCATTGGGGGCTTGTGGTGGTGAGAAGAAGTTGAAAAACGATTCAGTGGGAACCGTTTTCTTCACGATACGGGTCTGGTTAGTGTCTGTTTCATTGTCAGCATTGCGATTCACGCGACGTCTAGATTTTGGATCTTACTCTTGTTTCTCTGTTTCTTAGCTTCGACGCGCACGGTCAAATCTTTGCCAGAGCGCCATTCGATCTTGTCACCCTCTGCATGGTCGTAAATAAAATCACCACCATAACCGCTCTCGTTCTGGTAGAAATAGGTCTTAATGATAGATTTGTTTGTGAAGAATTCGTTCTCTGCAAACTCGAAGATGAGACGGAAACCAGGCTTGTCAAGATACTCCATGCGAATATCAGTCAGGTGCTTGAGTGCGGCCTCATCGCGGTCGGTGATCATTTCGGCGAGCGTCGTCTGATTCTTCATGGCCGATAGCCAGAACTCGGGAATGCCAGCAACATCCTCGGGAACATCGCCCTGCTTCGGTGCACTCTCATCGGATGTACCTGAAGTATTAACCCCGAGCTGTTCATCTTCGTTGCTACCAGCCTTGACCTCTTCCTCAGTCGGCTCCGTCTGGCCATTTACAATGGCCGCACGCTTCTCGTAGAGCGGCGTGAACTTGGCGAAATATTTCTTCTCTAGTTCCAGAACTTCCTTCTGGAATTCATCTTCGAGCTTTGAGTGCTCCTGCTGGACGCCACGCAGACCAGCAACTCGGCGGCGAACGGCGGGGGGAAGTGACTCGATATATCCCGAAGAACGGCCAATAAGCGAGCCCAGGCGGCCCTGAATCATTTGGACCAGTTTGGGGTTCTGGGCGAAAATCGCTGCGGCAGCGGCGCGATCCATGTCCTCTATAGAAGTAGTTGAATAATCAACGATCGAAGGTTGGACTTAAAGGTATAGGGGTTTACCTTCTATGATACTAGCCACGCCAGGTTGCTGAGCGTGGGAAGAGATGGGCGCATTGGTAGCTGGTGTGTTCTGAGGCGTACTGGAGGTGGGGTAAGTTTGGTGAGAGGCAGATTTGTGCTTGGGCAGAGATTACTCACGGAGCCGTCAAATCGGGTCGCTTGTTTCTAATCGGTTCGGCCATTTTGCTTGCTGAGCGGAAACACGATGTGTTCTAATAGCAAGCGGACTTTGTAGATGGTGGAAGAGCGAGGTTTGTGAAGGGAATGTGGAGGATGGGGAAGGGGAAGGTTGAGACAAGTGAGCCCGCTCTTTTGGCGGGTGGGTGAATTTCGGTGGGGAGGCTCGCGGGCCAAAAAAAAAAAAAAAAAAAAAATGGGGGGGGGGGGGGCTGGGGGGGG